AAAAAAAACATCAAATCAATTTCATTCACATATAAATTTATAGGCAAATGAAGACCAGAATTGCTATACGTTTGATATGCGTAAAATGGATTGCGCATTAAATGTGCTTAGGGGACACGTCTCAGCGGTGTAAGTGTAATAATATTATATTAATCTATTGTTAATTCTGTTAATGACTTGTTGTATTCTTTACAAAAGATTAGATTTGGATTATTCACCAACAGGTGAAGAGATAGTTACAGGCGCATATGATAGAACTCTCCGTATTTTTCATGCGCGTCAAGGACATAGTCGTGATATATATCATACAAAACGGATGCAACGAATTTTCTGTGTGAAGTTTAGTATGGATTCAAAATATGTGCTTTCAGGTTCAGATGACGGGAATGTTCGACTTTGGAAAGCAAATGCATCCGAAAAAATTGGCCCGGTATATATATATATATATTGTGTCAATAATAATTGCATATACATTTATATTTATATATTTACTGCCTAAAATTTTACAGAAAGACTATAGAGAGCGTGCGCACTTAGAATATGCTGAAAAACTCAAAGATCGATATAAAAATTTACCTGAAATTAAAAGAATATTAAGGTATTTTTCTGGAATCCTTATAGTAAATACGCTTTAATACTTTATAACTAATTCTTCTTTAATTAAAGACACCGGCATATACCAAAAGCAATTAAAACTGCTCAAAATACAAAACGAATTATGTTACAATCTCAACGTCGGAAAGAAGAGAATTTGCGCAAGCATTCTAAAAAAGATTCTATACCATATAAAGCGGAAAGGAAGAAAAATATTATCGGTGTTGCAAAATAATATTTTCATTCCTTACGAGGACGTATCATGGATGGCAATTATAAGATCTACACTAATGGTGTACTTTAACCCAACGATATTTTTCATATTTAAGCAAATCTCTTAATAAAAACATCTGAGAACATGCCTTTAAGGGGAATTTCCCAAACATAACGTATGCCCATTCCTATGATATTTACATAATTGATGCAATAGGTGGAATACATATACGTCATGGTTGAAATGTGGTACCTGGGAATTCGTAGTCTGGTCTTTTTCATGGACTAGGAAAGACACTATTCAATAAATTGAGAATTTTGATTTTGATTCAAATTAAGTGCTGATTTCTATCTATATGTAATTCGCTACGTTGATATAATAAATAATTTATCGATATGTCATAATTTAAGGATTAGCTTGAAGGTAGACCAATTTCTAAACATTCGTGTTCTAAAAAAATAAAATAGATTGACAGACGACTCAATTAACATTATAAATTTATTTATACACCATTTTCCAAAATGGAGGGTTTTCCTAGTCCATGACCCATTTATGAACGTTAACAAGTTTACAGATGTTTTCAAAAAGACGTGGAAAACGATTTCAATATACCTATGCGGGAAATCAAAGAATCTGAAAATTCTGAATAGTAAAAATTAAAGGTCCGAATAGAGCGGGTCTTGAAAACTCTGGAAATATGGGAAATATCGTGAATTTCCCATAACATAGTGATCTACGCTCTTCCACATCTTTTTGAAAACAGCTGTAATTAAATACTGAACATAAATTTATTGTCGTGGAATTAAAATCAGCAAGTCATAATGTCAAGTCATGATCGCAAATCATGGTCATAAATATAGTATATGGGCGCGCGTTATTTTCGGGACGCACTTGGCATTAATTTAAGCTAAATTGGCAAAATTTAAAAAAGTCTATACGAAATAACGCCCATGTGTGTGTTATTACGCTGGTACTCGGCAAGAGTCTGTATCTCCTGGTACAGAATAAAAAGCTATCCCCGGGTACAGGATAAGGAACTCGTAAATTTATTATTATAAGTAACCTTTATTTAGCACGCTCTAATATTAAAACAGGTGGAAATATATGATAAATCAGTTCTATCGACACAATTAGACAGACATCCGATCACAATAACTTTTGTTATAATTTACATACGTAAAGAATAAACTAGCAACTAGTAAATTTAGTAGCAAATTATTTTATTTTATTATTATTATTATTATATATTATTATTACTTTTTAATAAAATTAACTTATTTGTCTTTCTTAGGATACCAAATTGAAGTAGAATTGATATATCCTTGATAAACAATTTTAGCTTTATAAGTAGTTGCATCCACAAATTCAAATGACATTTTATCACTATTACTCTCAATTTTAGCATGTAAAAATCCTAGGGTTCCTTCAGGCATTCCCCAATCTTTGCCTTCACAACCACCACTCGATCTGCTTCCTGCTCCAGAGGTAAATATTGCGATAGGTGATGATGGCTTTGGATATTGATATTCTAAAACATGGGTGTGACCTGCAAAATACGCAGTTACCCGATAAAGTTCAAAAAGTGACAATAAACGGGACATATGTTGGTATTTTACACAATCACCGATAAGTGGATGATGACCTAAATTTAAGATACAATATTATTAACATATAAAAAATAAGCAAACAGAAGTATTAAACATAACAAAAATGACAAACCAACAACAAAGATCCATTTAGCATCTTGATGAAATGCTAAATTTTTTTAAATCCAATTTAATCTATTCTCAATAGCTTCTAGAGTATTTACACCCAAAGTATGCAGGTTGCTTTTTAACAAATTCTTTTTTTTTAAATTCTCGTACTTGTAATAAAATATGTTAGTATCAATGTGTAACCATGCTACTTTAGTTTTATTCGGCCCAAACACTGAGGTGCGAACATAGAATAGGGAAGGAAGAAAGAAGCGATTATTTTTTGTCCAATAATAATCAACTTGAGCTGTTATATTGTTATACCAATCGTGATTCCCAGCGACACTGTACCAAGGTATATCTGATAATTTGCCCTTGTATACATCCAACCAATTCGTTTTCCATTTTGAATCATTAACACTTTTCACACCCTGATGATCCTTCTTACCATTTTTATAAAAACTATCTATAAAATAATCAACCAATAATTAATTTTGTTCAATAAAGAATATATAGTTCAAATTAGAAATTAAGAAACTTACCACCAACATTAACAATAAAATTAGTATTATATTTTTTTGCCCAACTGTCCATAGCAAAGGCAACATGAACTTGATCCCCATGTTTTCGTCCAGTACCATTTGCTTTATATCCCCAATCACCGAGCACTATAAAATCTAATGTTGAATCTACATATGTTTCTTCAAATACTTCTGAATAAGGTGTCGCTATAGTGACATTTATTTCTTCTATCGGGGCATCAATTGTGTTATTTATTTCTTGTGCAAAACTATCTGTTATTATGAAATTTTTAAACGATGGAAAGAAAAATGATATTATGAAAACTAATTTTATTAACGATAATACATATAAGCATGATGCTGACTTTAGTAACGACTTTGACATTTTTTTTTTTTTTTTTTTAATTTGAAAGAGAAAATATAAATATATTATTATATGGCTAATCCATTTAACTATATATACTTATATAGATCGCCTCATTTTTTGCATCGTTATACAATTATAAAGTATATGGATTCTATTTATAAGTTGGTTACTGTAATACGTAATACTATCTTGGCAAATAAAAAATAATTGTCGATCTTTGCAATTATATACCGCAGCATTCTAAAATGACGTATAACACTTAGTGAATTAGCATAATGCAGACGCGCACGAAATTCGAAATCATAAATTTGCCTATCACTAGTCCTGTGAATAATTTAACCAAAACGAGCTTAATAATAACTAGTACTAATAAAAAAAATAGCCTATTAGAAAGCATAAAATTAATAAGCTAACATGTGCAAAATATTGTTATTCTTAGTAACTATGTTATTATTATTGTATTTTAATTAATCGATAATCGTAGCTATATAGATAAATCGAAATTTTAATAAGTAAATCTATATTGATGTCTTAAGTAAAGTTGTTCAGGAGAAATTTTTTTTTTTTTCGCAGTCATGCCACGACTTTTTGATTTATTAAGAAAATTAAAGTATAAATACATATATTCTTTACTATTCTCTAAGCTATATAATGCTAATTTAATTTTAAAAGTGTGATTAACCTAGTTGTCATTTAAGACATCTATATTTGACTTGTTATAACAAATTTTGCTTTCTTTCTAGGATCTTCTTTTTCTCAAAAGAAGATACTTAAAAGTTACTAGTTAGGATTTGTAGCCTGTCATGACTGTTTTAGTATATTAATCAAGGTTTTGTATATTTTATACAAATCCAGATTTCTATTTTATTGAAGGCTATTTTTTGTATTGAAAGGTTAGCTTCTTTTTCTATTATTATCTGTTCCATAGATGTTAATACATTTTTTTTTGTTTTTTTTTTTGTTTTACTTCTTTTTCTCTGTTTGAAATTCTTTTTTCTTTTTCTTAGGTTATAATTTTTTTGCATCTAGTTTTCTATATTTCTTAATAAAAGTTATTAATCTATTCTTCAAAATATGTTTCTAATATCAGTTTAGTTCTTCTTTTTGAAATTCTAAGTAAAAGGAGTTCTTTGATAAGTTCATTCTATATAAAACCTTTAAAGGTTTCTTGTCTTTAGAATTTAGCTTTTGTAGGTTTTGTTGAAAAAAGAAGTTTTTTAATTTTTTTTTTTTGTACTTTAAATATTTCAGTCATTTGAAATAGTTTTCTTAGTTTATTTAAGATTTTTTTCTCTAATCTTTTCTATTTCTCTTTGTCTGAAATACAGGTTAATAAGTGTTCAAAAGTTTTTTCTTTACCTCAATATCTTGAACAGATACTGTTTTCATATAGGTCAAACTAGAATAGATATTTTTTTTCTAATATAGGAAGTAGTCTATTTATATATTTTATAATAAAAATCTATCTGCTATTCTTCTCTAAACTATTTCCTTACTTCTTTTGAAGCCTATCTACTAATCTACTAAATATATTCTAACTTATATTATCTTTTCTGTTTCTGTGTATTCTATCTTTCTCTCCTCTTATAAAGACTTATTCTAATTTTACTATATTACTATTTAATTTCTTAATAAATTTTTTAATCAGCTTTTCAATTTTTATTTCTTTCTATACAGTACTGTATATAGTATTTTTGATCTGTATTTGTTGTATTCTAACTATTTTCTCTTCTTCTATACCTTTTTTTGCTTCTAAATCTGCTATCACATTTTCTCTATTTCCTATATATGCTTTAATTTTATGCAGAACTAAGCTAATATTTTTGATTTGAACTATTAGCTTTATTGTTTTAAGAATTGCAATATTATTTGATTTCAGCTATTCTCTTGCTTTCTTTTTTTTGTTTTTACTTATTACTTAGATAGCTGTAATACTATCTATATATATATTTACTTTGTATTTTTTAGAACTTATAAGTAGTACTTCTAAAATTGCTATTAACTCTGCTCTTGTAGATAATGCCTAGTTGTCTGTTCTTTCTCTAACTTTGCAGATAATATTATTATTAACTCCTTTTTATACAAAAGCATAGCCAAGCTTTTTGATACTTTTCTGTTTTTTATTTAAAGATCTATTTGTATAAATATGCACTTGCACAAGATCTTAGTTATTATTATATAGAGTTTTAAGTAATGTTTTCTTTTCTTTTGAGTATGATAATATTTTATCTATTAAGTATTTATTCTAAGAATAGTTCTCATTCTCTACTTCTTGTATTTTGTTTTCTTATATATCTGTAGTATAAATACTAAAGTAGCTTTGTAATTCTTTAGAAGCAATACTTATTGTACATCTATTTGGTTTGTTCTTAATTCAGTTAGTTATACTTCTAAATATATTAAGTTTATACTGTTATAAAATGAGTTTTAATTATTTTTATCTTATTGTTTTATCATTAGTATTTTTATTATTATAAATAGTTAATTTCTTGAATATACTTTATTTATTATCACTTTTATAAATAACTTAGTAGTCACAGATAGATTTAAGTTATACTATTAAATCTAGTTCAAAGTGACTTTTTTAAACAAGCTATAATTCATAACTATAGAACTCTTAGTTTTAGAGTTGTCCTAGGAACAACTATAATTATTTTACTATTCTTACCATTTTTACTGTTCTTACTATTCTTACTATTCTTACTATTCTTACTGTTCTTACTGTTCTTACTGTTCTTACTATTCTTACTATTCTTATTACTAGTTGTAAAAAGCTATATAAATTCTCCCTTTTCTTTTTGCTCCAAACTAGGTTTTTGATCTCTGCAATCTCCTTAATATTAGAATTCTTTTAGCATAGAAACTAATAGATAGTCTTGTATTATTGATATTGTATCTTAAATACAGTATAATATTTGCTCTTTTATTAACTTTGTAATGAACTGCTATAGTGAAGTAATATTCTACTTAGATACTATTAAGAGCCTCTCTTCTGTGTTTTATGTTACTTGTATTGTAATAAGAAAGCTAATACTTATAACATTTTGATGACTTCTGATGAAAAAACAAAGAAACACTTCCAGAAGGATAATAAATTAAAAAAACTTTAAAGAAGCTCTAAAGAAACCCTTCTTAAAATTAAAAAAACCTCTCTTTTCTCTTCTAATGATCTCTAAAGAAGCTTCTCTTAGAAATCAAGAAGCTGCTCTTTCATCTTTTGCTAATTATGATCTATGTTACATCTAGTTTATATTATACAAACACCAAAAAAAGAGATCTATAACTTCTAAAATAGATCTATATTACATCATAATATAAAAAAAAAAAAATAATTCTAAATTGCTTCATACCAAAGAAGATCTATTTCATATTATATAGACTTTTTCAAAGTTGAATCTAGGCTCAGACTATATCTATTTATATCTACTTTAAAGCTAGCAACTTACTGTGACCCTCAGGTTAGGAATATCTGAAAGACAAGTATCTTACAAGCCAAACTTGTAGATATAAAGACTCTAATTAAAGCTAGCAGCTTATTGCAACTTCTAGGTTAGGAATATCTAAAGGATGAGTACTCTATAAGCCAAACTAGTAAGTGTAATGACTCTAATTAAAGCTAGCAACTTACTGTAACTCTTAGGTTAGAAATACCTGAAGGACAAGTACTTTATGAGACAAACTTGTAAGCATAAAGATTTTAATTAAAACTAGCAGCTTACTGTGATCCTTAGAAATAGAAATACCTGAAGAACAAATATCTACAAGCCAAAGTATAGATATAAGGACTCTAATAGCTAGTAGCTTACTGCAAACCTTAATATAGAAAAGTTAAGCATAGATTACTCACAAGTCAAATGTATAGACATAAATAATCCAAAACTCTAATCTATAGTTTCAGATACCTCATAATCTAAAGTATAGAAGTAAGGTATCTTATCATCTAACATATATAAACAGAGTATATCAGATGCATATAGAAAGAATACAAATATACGATTTATGACATCAGAATACAAGTTAAGTATATACAGTACTTCAAACTTTAGACTCAGATTTATCCTGTTAGCTGTGCTATCCAGAAACTAATTATCATAGATTATACCATAACTTTTGGTATTAGTATAGACGAGAATACTACACTAGATTCTATTCTTAATAAACAATAACTACATATATAGAATTAATTAATAGCTAGAGTTGTTAATGAAGTAGTATACTCCAGAGCTACTCTGAAATGAATCCAATTCAAGTTAGAGTAAATTAAAGTTATAACTAAAAATCTGAAGTAAACTGGAGCAACTACTAAGCAAGTCTGAAGTAGCTCTGAAGTAAATCCAATTCAAGTTGAAGTGAGTTGAGGACTAGTTCAACCCAACTTAACTCAACTCAACCTATTAACAACTCTATTAATAGCTCTATCTATTCTAAAGCCAGAGTAGCAGCACATGATATTATATTTAGTTACTAATATAATACCTTTATAGAAAACTTTAAAAACATTGCTAAAATCCTTCTAAATAGATATACTCAATATATCTTACAAATCTACCTTTTACTTAGCTTTGAAGCTATAGTCTTTGACTCTTATATTAAATTTTAAGCTAGTTCTACTACTCTCAACCTTTATTTAAATAGAACTTCAACAGAAGTTTTAAAAAATCTTGGCTTCTCTATTCCTAATGAATATACTAGTAGTCTCGATCACTTCAAATATAGTCCTATAGTTAGTTAATACTTAATAGACCTAGAACAAGCTATAACTTCTGAAACTCAATTCTCATCTTCTTTAACTCCTTATAATAAAGATACTACTCAAATCCAATTTCCTTATGAAATAGGCAATGAACTTCTACTCTATCTTTAACTAATATTTCTCTTAAACTACTAATACATATATCTAACCCTTAATTTCTTTCTATTTCTTCTACTAATACTTCTAACTAATAATACTTCAATTTTAATATCAACTCTCGAACTATATTTACTAACCTCTTTTATCAGTTCATCTCTACTACTACCTTATCAAATAGAAATCTCCTAATTCCTAGAAACTACTCTCAAGCTAATCTAGACCTTGATAACTTCTCTTTTTCGCACTATACTTCTCAATATTCTCTACTTTTTTACTAGTCTATTCAACCTAACAAACTCTTTGACAGAATAATCCAAACCTTAGATGATCTAAACATTAATAACATCTCCTTAAATAATCAAAATAATCAAGAAGAATATAATCTTG